GATAGAAGAAAAGGTTTATTGGTATTGTGGTGTCATTTATGTCATTGTTTTTACAATTTACTTTACGACTTTTCCTATGAAGGAAATCCATTCTCACGTTGGAGAAAGTCGCTGATCAAAAATGAAGCAAGCGGGGTTAACTACCGTGTCGGCAGCGAATTAATTTTTTATCGTATCCAATTGTTTACTACTTCCTAGTCGTTTCGTACACTAGTTTGCTCGAATATAATTTGTCAAGACTAATAAAAATGCACTCTCTAGGTTGTTCAGAGTTTGTGCAAATGGATGTTTGGTACATGTAAAGTTTGAATGGCGATTGCGAAAAGTTCAGTAGCTTCGGTGGGATTTGGACCCNGGACCCACGTATGGATGCCGCCTACGCTTTGTACGCGCACGCTCTATCAACTGAACTACGATGCCCCACGGATAGCACTGATCTTTTAACCTTGGAACTACCCATCCAACTTACAGAGGCACATGGCATCCACCAATTAGCATATAAACTAACTGCCCCATACTGCGCCATACAAACTTGAAATCTGCCAAACATCCCTTTGCACAATTAACCTTGTCCCAGATTTTCATTCGGTGGACTCCGGTGAATTCTAGGGAAAACCTGTCCGGGTAGTCAGCTTACATGCTAACTGGTGGATGCCACATGCCTCTGTAAGTTGAATGGGTAATTCAAATGTGAAAAGATCGGTGCTATCGGTGTGTCCTCGTAGCTCAGCTGGTAGAGCATGCGCATACAAAGCGTAGGCGGTGTCCATGCGTGGGTTCGAATCCCACCGAGGCTACTGAACTGTTCAAAGTTTATCTTAACTTGACCTGATTAACAGTTCATGAGTCATCCGGTACAATGTTACCATCATGTGAAGGATCAGGGATACTTCTGACTTATCACCACCTGTCTGACCCACTCGACAATAAGAATCACATAAATGAAACCAGTCAGCGAAAAGACGCGAGGCGGATGGAAGATGAAACAACAGGGATAAAAACCTATGGGCCGAGGCTCAGTAACGAATGGGGAAGCGCAGATATCACGTTGGTACCATTAGTATTGCAGAGAGAATGCAGTAGTGCATCCGGGAATTATAAAAATTATAATAATTATTATAATGTGACTTCTGTTAGCCAGAAGTAATCGCTCTACACCGCCTCCGATGGCTGGGTCACGTATTGCGCATGCCTGCCCAGCGACTTCCTTTCCGTGCTCTCTTTGCACGTGCCGGGCAAGGCTG